CCCCTTCAGTTACTGCAGGGCCTGCGCGGTGCGGAGGTCGCCTCGCGGGGGAGCCTGGCGGAGTTGGTGCCCCGGTCAGCCGCAAAGGAACCTTGGGCGAGTCTGCCGGTTTAGGCGCCTTCGAAAGGAGACCAACGCTTGGCTGAGAGGCTTTCGGCTCGACTCCGGGGGAGCGCGGGTCTTCGACGGCCAGCTGTTGCTGGGTCCCCGTTGGGTCGCTGTTCTTGGGGCCAGTTTTGGTAGGCGGGGAAACCTTCCCAGCCCCTTCCCCTCTTAAGGAAAGCGGCTGGTTGTGGTCTTTTTGACAAGGGGTGGCCTGAGGGTGAGAGTGGGTAGCATAAACCAATGCCAGGGCCGCCCACTCATTGAAGGCAGCTCCCAACACATCCAGAACCCCTCCTGAAAGCAGGACAGTCCCAGCCCTGAGATGAAGGCCACCCCTGCCTGGTTGCAGAGCTGGCTGGGCACCAATGGTCACGGCCTCTCTGGCTTGGCAAGCACCTGCCTTCGTGCCTCTGTGTGTGTCCTTGCCCCTTTGGGGAGTCCCCAGGCCCACTGCAAGCAAGGTTTCTGTGCAGTGAGACTAAGCCCTGTGAAGGGGTTGCCTAACACTTGTCAAAAGTGTAAACGCGAATAGAGCCATTTAGTAACCTACATTTTTGAACAAGGTCACCACCAATAAGGGAAAGAACTGCAGGTCCGTTCAAGCAGGATTTGCACTCGGTCTTCTCCCAATGGGGCCAGTTTGCTTTGGGACTCTTCTGGCTTCTTTGGCTGATGGGCCCTCAGAGGCCTGCCCCGGGGACCTGTTCTGCTGTCACTTGCTGATGGCATTGCAGCAGCTTGTGTTTTAGAATGTGGCTCCAGAGAGCATCTGTTAAAGTCAATTACAAGATTATTGATCTACAGTGGAATTAAAAGACCATTGAGGTCTAGTCCTGCCAACAAACTGTCTGGGGATTTTTATGGATTAGCATGTAATAAAATAAGGCACACTTTCCCTGCTTTCTGACAAAGTGAACGGGGAAGATAAATAATTTGTGCCAGCAACTGACAAGTGCAGAGGACCAAGGGGTTCATCAACCTCTAGAAAGCTTCTCCCCACTCCCAGGTCACATCTTCTGTCCTGCACAGGAACTTCTCTTTCCGATATCCGTGCCATCCCTCTCCCCACCGGTCATCTCCAAAGAGCTAGGTGCACGTCCTTCAGGATCAAAATGACCTGACCTGGATGACTGTGCATCTGCACCAGTTGTTCACTTGCAAGGGCTTTGGAGGGAAAACAATGGCTTTGAAGCAGAGCAAAATAGATCTTCCTACGCTACTAGTGAGGGGTACATTTGCAATGGGAGGGGGTGGAGGATGACATCACCCAGTCTTGCATTTAAGAAGAGGCTGGGGGTGCTGGTGTAGGGGACGATGAGTGTCCTGATGATGGGGCAAGCAGAGGTATAGTTTTGTCTCAGGTCTGGGAACAGAGCAGTCACATCTCAGAGTCTTGAGGAGCTTGCGAATGCCATCTGAGCCCCTTTCGGCAATTTTTGCAACATCTTCACGGAGCACTGGAGTTGTATCAGTGGACTGGAAAAGGGGAAATCCTCTCCCTCTGTACAAAAAGCAGGAAAAGGATAGAACTATGGGCTCGTCAGCATGGGATTGACCCTCACAAAATTCTGGAACAAATGATTAAGCAGTTGTCTGTGAGCATTTTGAAAATAATTTACTGCTTGTCAGGAACCAGCATAGATTTATCAAGAATAAATTGTGGCCAAACAACCTGATCTTCTTTTTTGACAGGGACCGATTTAGTTGTCAGCAGGAATGTGATGGATATCGTGACTTCAGCAAAGCAGTCAACAAGACCTCCCATGGTACCTGACAAAGTGGGGCTTGAATCCTGCTGCTGTTAGAAGGACATGGATGGTTGAAGAACCATAGCCAGCAAGAGTATGTCCAGGCTGGAGGGAAATGTTAAGTAGCAGAGTGCAGGACTCTGCTCTAGGCCCTGTGCTGTTCAATATATTTGCATATCACTTGGATGAGGATTAGGAAATATAATTGAACTTTGGATAAAATTTAGCTACACAAATTTCAAAAGAATCATCTGCAACCTTCTGAGTAAGGAAAATGGCATGAATATTGGATGGAGAAGAGTCATAGATCAACTTTTCCTTGATCCTTCAGTAGCCTTCCATGCCATCAGTCATCACAGCCTTTGGAGCAGCTTAAAGAAGTAGAGATGTACTTTCCTTAGCCTTTTTCCTTTGGTTCTAATCAGTATTGGTAGAGAGATCTGGCCCCAAACTTCTGCTTTGTAGGATCTGGAGGACTCAACTCTTTCCCTGATCCTATTTAACTTCTATATGAAGCCACTGGGCAAGAGAACTTGTTGGTACGGAGTACCAACAAGTAAGAGAATCTCTGTGGCTCAACTATGGAATACTTGGTGCTCTCTGAGCTTGGTTGTTTGCTTGCAGATATTTCATTACTCAACACCATCAGTGCTAGTGAGTTTGGGGCTTGCTCCCTGTTTATAATGTGGCTTGACCTGCCAGTGTTGGTAGCAGTGTGGTTTTCTCCTTGGTAGTTCCTTGATTAGGATATCTTTTACTGTTTAATGTTTGTGGGGTGTTAACCCCTGCTTATCTGCATGTTAGCAGCTGGAGAGGATGTCTTCTGGTCTTTTGGTTGTCTTCTTATTGTCTCTTTTCAATGGTGTAAAAATGTGATTTATTTCTATGTGAATGCTGATGGCTGATTTGTCTGAATGCCAAGCTTCTAGGAATTCCTGAGCATTTGGGGGATTTAGCTTGGTCTAGCTTTAGGTATAGGATGCTCACACTTTCCCAATCAAAGCTGTGGCGTTCTCAAATTAAGGAATTTTTGTCCTGTCTTCTGGGTGTTCATGGGTACCCTCTGCTAGTCTTCTGCCAATGTGTCCTGAAGACTGGCAGTTACAGGGCTTTACTGCTAGCAGAGGCACAAGTAAGGATTCAAAAGCAGCAGCTACAAATGACATTTCATTCTCCACTATCTGAAATTAAGCCCAATTGTAAAGCTAAGTGCCTGAGCGTCCTCTTGTGGATTTGTGGAGAATTGTGATTTCAGCAAGATACCTTTTTAAAAAACTTTCATTTTTGGTTTTTCCCTCCCTCTTCTTTCAAATTGTTTTATCTTGGTTATTTTTAATATATTTTTCTTTTCTAAAAATGAGTTAATTTAGATTTTTATTTTTACATATATTGTTATTTTATATTAGTTTTATAGTTTACCTTTAGTAAAATTGAATTGAATTTTCAGATTAAGAAACTGTTTTATGAAACATTTTGAGATAATTTAACTGAAAGTTTGTAAAATTCAAAAAAATTTAAGATCAAGCCCCTAACCTCCAACACCCCCCACACCCCCAATAACTGAGCATTGCAAAGGTTGAAAGTTTGGCAGATTTCAAACCAAAAGGCAGAGGTCTCCAAACTTGGCAACTTTAAGACGTGTGGACTTCAACTTCCAGAATTCTCCAGCCAGCAGGCTAGAGAATTCTGGGAGTTGAAGTCCACACGTCTTTAAAGGTGCCGAGTTTGGGGACCCTGCCCTAAGGGAACTCTAAATACTTAGTCAATTTTTGTCTGCACCAGATCAAGTCCTCTATTTTGTATTTCCATTCATTTTTTATGTACACGTTAGTATACACAAATGTTGACCCAAAATTCCATCAACTATTGGCTGCTCTACAAAACTGATCAGTTGGGCAAAGGGCCACTGGAGTTCCCAGTCTTGGCTCAGGCAGAGACCCTGGAGGGAGTCTCAATGGCTGGAAGGTGGTGGCTAGAGAAATATTTGATTCTCAGACATCTTGGTCCCAGGTTCCCTTTACCTTACACTCTTAAAATGACTGAGGACCCCAAACAGATTTGCTTTATATGGGTTATACTTATAGCTATTGATATTTGCTGTGTTAGAAATTAAAGCTAAGGAATGTTAAAATGTTTAGTTATTTAACATACACACACACACACACACACACACACACACACACACACACACACTGGAAGGTCTGAGGAGGACTCGGTGGTTGTCTGGCTCCTTTGGGGCACTTCATTTGGCAGCCTGCAGCATAAGAATAGCCCAATATGTTGGCTGGCCTGATGCAGTTGGCTGCTGAACCCATTGGAGGCCTGAGCTGGAAGAGCGCCCGCTGAAGGCTTGCAAGGCACTACTTGTGTAGGTGGTCATCTTGCAAAGCAACTTTCTTTTGAAAAAGTTTCTCTTTCAACACCAATGTGAGGTACCCAGAAAAGCTTCTGGCAGGAAATAAGAGTTATACAATCTTCTCTGGATATTTCCAAAACAAGGAAAACATTCATATATTTTTTTATTGTATTGCTAACAGTTGCTGGGGTGCATCCACAGTTTCGTTCCACTTGTGCAATGACAATAAAGTTCTTCTCTTCTTCTTCATATGAAATGGACATTTGATGGCAGGATGTACCCCTTGTTAAAGCTAAAGTCGGCCAAACATTACCTTTCTCTTATAGAAAAGAATAACATCCCTGGATCCTCTTCAATTGACTGAAAATCTTCCCTGCCAAACAATCAACATAACTGCCAAAGATAATGGTTTTAAAATGCTTTAAGTCTATGCTGAGATAATATAGAAAAAATTGACCGGTAGTTTGCAATTTAAAAAGAAAAGGAAGAGAATGGAATGACTGCAGAAACAGAAAATACCCGGGCCTCCATTCCATCCTGTCTCCTGAGTGCCTGTCAGCCAGCACTCGGACTGGCCTTCCCAGGGCTGGGCTGCAGAGGGAGAGAAACGGAAGCCAGCAGAGACAAGTTTTCACTTGCTGAGACAGAACCAGTTCTAACCTTCTTTGCAGCTCCCAGCCCACCTTGGAAACGTGACTGGAGGCGGAGGAGGAAGGAGCAGCCTCAGGTCAGCGGGCCCTTCCCAAGGACACCAGCTGAGTACAAGAGAGCTCTCCTCTGCTTAAGGAAGCCCCTGGACTGGATCAGAAGAACCCCACTTCCAGGGGGGAAAACCTCATGCTGGTGAGTAAGGGGCAAAAGGAAAGTGGAGGATCTCTCCTTCCTAGCCCCATATAACCTCCTGAATCCAGACTTCCCATTAGCCAGAAAGAGTCACTGGTTGTCCCTGAGCACAACCGCAGATTAGGACAGGAAAAGGGACAGGAGCTGCCACAGAGGCTGCTGGCGGGGTGGGGGGAAGGGGGGGAGGGAGGGAGAAGAAACCTACATGCAGACCTGAGCACAGTCCCTGGTCCCTGGACTTGCCTAGGTTGTTCTGGGAGGGCAACATGGGTTTCCTCAGCTTGTGGGGGAAATTTGCAAAAATATCAAAGAAGTGGAACTGTGAAATATTAGGAGCAGAGCAATAAACTGGTGTCCCCCTCCCCTCCAGACCATAGGAACGTTTTGGAAGAAGAGTGATTTTGTTTTCCCATCCTGACGACCAATACTCTTGTGTGCTTCTGTGTGGCAGGAACAGGACTACAATATCAAAAGAGCAGGCCAAGCACAGAGTGCGTCCAAGGTCAGAATTCCATTAACCTGCTTCCAGCCCTGGCTTTTGATCTCAGAGCATTTCACCCCTGCTGACCATGTTGACTTGTGCTTAGTTGTGTGGCTTGTTCCCTTCTTTCTTTTTCAGAGCTGCTAGATCATGCTTTAGCTCCTGCCATTCAAGCAGACGCAGGCCTTCCTCTTTAGGCAAGCTTTGGGTGACACCCAGTGGGGTACTATTGCAGGGTCTGGATTGGATTAGTAGAGGTGGCCCTTTTACACTCTTGAGGCTGCTGCAGCCTAGCCTGAATCTTGGGGTTGGGTGGTACAAAAATGCAATGAGCAAACATGTTGCCACTTCCTTCCTGAGCAGAGGGCAAGTGATTGGCACACCTTCTTCCACTCAGAGTCGGCCATCAGCTTCACAGTGAATTTTTCTTCAATTATTTGGGTTTCATGGCAAATACCATTTGGGCTGTGCAACCTTCAGATCTAGCCACCTCCATCACCTCTTTGTGTGATTTTGTACAAACTCTCCCTGGGGGGCATTTTTATATTCTTTCAAAATATCCAAGTAGAATTATAAAAGAAGTGGGAGTATGAAACCTATTTTCTCAATCACTTGCTCTTTTTAAATGGTTTAAAACAAATTGTCCCAGGATAATACATATCAATAACCTGAGAACTAAAACCCCAAAAAGGGAAAGGAGGTTTTACAATCGTTGGCGAAAGCCTCCTGAGCTTGATTTTCCAGCAAAGCCCTGTGTGTGCAAAGGCCTTGTGTCAGTTCTGTGGGACCACACCGCACTGAGGCAGAGGGAGGCCTGGGGAAACCCCTGGCAACTTGGGTGGCCATGTGCTCCTCCTTGCTCTGAGGTGCTCTATTTCCACTCCTCCCTCCAAATGTCAGGTGAGGTGCAACATAAACTATCTTAATGATGTGCCACTAAAAGACGTGAGAAGACCAATTCAAAATTCCACCAGCTTAGGGCATTTCGACTGAATCCTTGCCCTGTTGACTAATTAAGAAAATAATTATTGCCAAGGAATCCAGAGAAAAACCATTCCCCAGTGAGAAAGAGCGGCAGCCCTGAGTTGCATTTGTGATCAACGGCTGGAGAGGCTCTGGCTGTGTCCTCACAATGGTGCAGAGCAGGGGTGGGCAACTATGGCCCTTTTATGAATTATGGACTTCAACTCCCAGAATTCCTGAGCAAGCCATGCTAGCTCAGGAATTTTGGGAGTTGAAGTCCACAAGTCATAAAGGGGCCATAGTTGCCCACCTTTGGTGCAGAGTGAGGTTAGTCTTCCTTTTTTGAAGCAAAAGCTGTAGCAGGCTCTAGCTCACGGCCTGGCCTGGTCTCCCAATCAGAGCAGGTACATGAGTGAGGGGCACAAAAACTCAGTCCCAGTTCCCCAACATGGCGGGCGGGGGGGGGGAATCTCTCCCATTTCTCTACCCCACACCTCCCCTAACTGGTTTCCCTCCAGTTGCTTATCACTCACCCATCAATTTTTTTTCTAACATATATACTTGTCCAATACATTTTCATACTGTGTCCAGTATACTTATTTGTCTATTTCTAAAATCTTTTCTGAGTGGCCCTTAGCTCAGAAAGGGTATTCCAAAGAAATTTATTGAATTGAAAGCTTTATTTATTTAGTAATTCATTAATCACATTTATATAGACAGATTAAATAGACTAATGGTCTCAGCTTTCTAGGCAGTTCATACAATAGATGTAAAGTACAGTACAGATATGGCCTAGTAGAAGGTGGCGTTCAACAGACGTTTGGTTAAAACCAGCCTAGGCTGGAAAGAGAGAAGGAAGTTAGAAAGAAATTTAGCATTGCCTCACCTTGATTCTCTTGGATATGGGAGTGGGGGCAGGGGAGAGAAGCTCTGCCAGGCTTCCAAGGGTATGTTAATTATAGTTGCAACAATAAAGTTAGTACCAGGAGTTATATGGTTATTATTCACCCTTGTGGCCTAGTTTGAACTAATTAAAGTTTTTAGACTTTTCTCAGAGGGAATCTCAGATATAACAAGATTCCACTGACCATCTAGAAACTTAAGAGAGCATGGATTACTACAACTGCAAATAGCAGAGCAGATAAGTGACAATCTCCATTTCACTGAGGCCTATTTAAAAATAGCTGCAACTGGCTGACTCTGTTGAATGCCAGGAGATCCAAAGCTACCCAAACGCAGAATAGGCCCCTCTCTCTCTCTAACATCTGGGCAAGGAAGAAGTGTGGAACAGAAGAGGCCAACTCCCTTGGAGTTGTCTGATTTCTTTGTCCATTTTTAGACAAGTCAAGGGAGGAAAATTAACTTGTTTGGAACGCTGACATTGTGCTTGGATTTATTGATAGTTGCCTAAGCTATGCAAAAAGTCCAGGTAAGGAAAATCACAAATGAAGAAATTAAAAGTATTAACACAACCCAAAGGAAAACAGCTTAGAAAACTCCTCTCTATCTGCTGTTTAAAAAGTTGTCCCTGTCTTTTCAGGCAAAGCTACCATGAGGGGTTCTATTCAGATGGTGACCCTGTGGGGGAAACAAGCCCCTCCTCACAGCATCACCGCTATCCTCATCACAGAGGACCAGAGAACGATCGTCACAGGGAGCCACGAAGGCCAAGTCTGCCTTTGGGACCTGCTGCCAGACCTCCAGGTGTGAAATGGCTTCCTGGCTCCTTCCAGGGCTGCCCCCAGCTCCAGTCTGCTCAGAGGGAAAGCTCCTCAGCAAGGACTACCTCTCCCCAGGCAGAATTAGCCACTCCTTTGGGGGATCCCCTAACCCAGGGGTGTCAAACTCTTGGGCTGCAGGCCGGATGCGTCACCTGCTGGCCCCGCCCGCACCCAGTTTAGCGAAGGGAGCGGGCAGGGGAAAGTCCTGATACGTCACGTGACGCCACCGTGATGATGCGAGTTTGGCACCCCTGCCCTAACCCTATCACAGGCCAGGGAGGAGCAGTTTAATTCTTCTCAGTAGAATATGCTGTTTTCCATTTATCTGCTCTGTAATCGAGAACATACAATCCATTATTGAAAATCAGTCCTTTTGACCTTGTTATACAATCAACCTTTTGCCCTTCTAGATGTCCTCAAGGCAGATGCTTTTGGGGCATACAACATCAGTGACGTGTTTGGCGAAGGCAAGAAATTTTGAGAAGCAACCGTACGTGGTCAGTGCTACTGAGAACGGGTCAGTCCCTCGACATTTCCCATGACTTCTCATCTCCGGAAAGTTCTGAGTTGCAGGAAATAGATGTGCTGTTTGGAATAGAGATTGATGCCTTGTGGCTTTTCTTAAGAGTAATTCTTGCTAAGGTAGGCCAGGACTGATATTATTATCTCTGAGATTTCAGTGAAAAGGGGGGCTAGCTAGAGCCCTGGAAAGTGTTTTAGTCGAAGTGGGAGGCCCAACAGATTAATCCCCAAGGGAAGATCAATCTTCTGAAATAAAGAGAAGGGATAGGAGCCTTGAGCCATTCTCCAGAAACACAGGAACCTTTGTGTAACCTGCCTCTGATTTCGGCTGCTAGTAGAAGCACGGTAACTTGTTCAATGTCTGAGCCAAAGCCATTTTCTATGCTTTTTTAAAGACAGCTCATGAGGATGTTGACAGAACTATTCCACTATAGGTGAGAGGGTTTAAGCCTTAATTTAAAAAAGCCGATTTCATCATATTTCAATAAAAACTTATTTCAGTGTAACTTTACACCTTATCCACTTCCACCTGTCCTTCAATTTCAAAGTAAATCCCCTACTGGATATATGTGAGTGTATCATAGTACATCCTCTTGTTGTTTTGGCAGAGAGATGAGCATTTGGGACCTCACCAGTGGACGGTGTGTAGAGAATACAAGGCTTCCATTTCGGCACACGGCCATCTGTGTAAGTAGAACACATCCTTACCTGTGTTCTCTTGAGCACCATTCCCTAGCAGCTTCTTCTGATATAGGTCTTGTTGGTATCTCCAGTAGTTTGATGAAAAAAACGTTCCAGAGGTGAGAAAGGACTAAACTGAATACAACCTGGGTTTTATACCTACATTTTAAAAAAAAAATTAGTAAAGTTACAACTGAACGAAGATCTCACCCAGTGCTTAGAAGTCACTGACTTCTGGTAAGCACTAGGGATTCAGGAATGCTTAGACTGAATCTGGCATGCTGTTTCTTTTTTGGGGTGGCATCACATCCATTACCTTCTGTCTAGCACTGGGCTGAGCTGAAGCTGCTGCACTTTCTGCCTTCCCTTCTTTGGCTTTGGAAGGAGGGAACTGATTGGACAAGAGCAGGCCACCAACAAAGCAGGTCGCTCCTGCTGCCATGGAAATGCAGCTGCACACATCTCCAGTTCCTGCTGTGGCCTCTCTAGCAGTGGGGCCATGAGCTGAAGGGAGTCTACCTGCAAGGTGGCTGCGGGCTTGGAACTGGTAGAGAAGCCACTGGTTTCAAACAGAATCTGGGGATGGCTCCAGACAAAATGCAGTGGCCTCGTTTTATTGCACTAACCTGCTTCTGTACTGCAGTGCCTGTTGAAGTGCATCAAATTTAGTTTTAGAATTCGTATGCTCAGGAAACATTTATAAATGGAACACAATCTTGTGGTTTGCTTGCATCATGGGTGAGAAGGCAAAGAGGAGTCTCTCTTCCACTTGTGCATGATCTCTCTGTTTTGTGAACTAGGGATGTATACTAGCATTTGTCCGCAGAAAGATAAGCGGCTGCAGCACATAGAAGAGATTGAAATGGGGATGGAAAAGGCTCCACGGGACTCTCTTTATAGCTTGAAACAGCCCAGAATCAGGTCTAGGATGCTACTCTGAGCCGTTATGCATCATCTTGGCCAGCCACTAGAGGGCAGTATGCAACTTGGCCCGATCCTGGTATCTCTCTGGTCGGCATGCTGTTTGGGAAAGGGTGTTTCCAACTAATGCTTGGTAGGAGTCAGTCTTGGGAAACAGGTGTGCTTCTCAGCTAATCTGTCTTGCCTTTTTCCCTTTGTACAGTACTACCACAGCTCATTTCGCATGGCAGGAGAGGGCTGGCTGGTCTGCTGTGGGCAGTATAATGACATCCTCATTATTGATGCGATAACCCTGGTTGTGCTTCACAGATTAACCTCTTCTTCCTCTTCAGACTGGATCAGCTGCATGTGTTTAGTGCATTCTCTGAGGATTCAAGGTATATTAGCTGTCAAAATCATTTAAGTTGGATGCTTCTATGTGAAGTTATCATCCATGCTTATCCATAGATACCATAATATATAGGAGGATTGCTGTAAAATTATATTGGTTTACTTGTCATTTCTTTGGTGAGTGGGTGGGCACATGCCTGTTTAGAAATTACAGAAATTGGTCAGAGCTGCAGAATACAGTAATGTACATTGTTGTCAAGAAGGCTGATGGTTCACTCCCAGAAGAGCCTTCCTCCTGCTGGGGAGAAAGGCTGGTTTCTGTGGGACCCCTTTTCTTCTGGCCACACTTCTTAGGCCCTGGGACACATCAGGACTGCTGGTACAAGGACAGTTTTGCCTGGGATAGTGAGCAATGGCAGAGCAAGCCTCACTTCTGAAGGCTCTGGAACAGGAGCTGCAAGGACCCTAAATGGGTGCATCCACCCACAGACACGAAGCGGGGCACCATGAGGTGCTCCTTGGAGGCTGGGTTTAGGTGCATGGGCAGGGTCTTGCCCTTCCATGTTATCTCGGGCAGGCAAGAGCAGCCGTGCCATTTTCCTGCTCGCCACGCCTTGTGCCCCCTGCTTATGACTCTCCCACAGCCATCCCGTTTCGCTTTTCCAGAGGATTCTTTACTAGCCGTATCTGCAGCAGGAGACCTTAAAGCCTGGGATTTGTCATCTTCGATCAGCAGCATACAGGTGAGAAGCAGCAAAGGTCCATATCCTGGGCCAGGTGCCTCTTTCCCTTCAGTCGGGCAGTGTTGATGCAGGAGGGTTAGCAACATCCCTGTGAGTGGACTTAGAGGGGCCCCAGGTGCCGCTGAAACTTCTCGAAAGTTCTGCATCCAGGCCCCAAGCTGAATGCAAAGCAAGTTTTCACCTAGAAAGGAGTGATCATAGCTGATGTTAAACATGATGGGAAATTAATTTCCTGGACATGACATGGACTTTACACGGGGAAGAAAACAAGTCAGGTTTTTTTTAAAGGTCCAATTCCTATCTCAGACAGATCAGAATAACAAGAAAATAATTTATCCTACAAACAATTCCTAAGATTTGGTTGCAATCATATTTCTAGAATACATTTCCTAAAAGAATCCAAATATTAAAACATGTATATTTCCAAACTAGGAAATATGCACAACTTTCTAACTGTCCTAAATCAGACTTTGTATGGCTTTTGGCATAAGACCTCACACCTAAGCAAATTCTGAAGGAGTACAAAGGGGCATAAGAGTTATTCTAGGAAATGTCATGATGCACAAACACCCTCTTTTCTCAGAAAAAAAAACAGGAATTTAAGGGAAATATCAGTTTAAGTAGTTTCTGTGCTTCATAGATATGCCAGTATAAAAACTGTCATCAGTCAGTTGTATGGGGAGTGGAGCCAGTGGAGCCTCTCTGACTTTTGCTGTTTGTTTTGCCAGCTTGGTCCCGTCTTGGGTTTTATTTCGCCTAACCTATGAGAAGGGTAGAGAATGTCCTGGAGGCCTCCTAAAATCCAAAACTGCCACAAACAAGACAGCATTGTTTAGATGTTGAAATCTTATAAGAGAACTGACAAGGGGACCTTACGTTCCCTTTGCCATCATAGCTTGAGAGCATGCTAAAGTACAAGAGAACTGAAAGGGAATAGATTGGAAAAGGAGTTCAAAATATAGCCATCCCTCTGTTCTTTCCATTAAATCTGGTCGATGGGCTCAGGAAACCAAATACCATATTTGGGAGAGGCAAATTATTCCCTCTTAATCAAGGCAATTGGTTCCCTGAGTCAACTTTTACTTTATAGCCCAACTGCAGTGATAACTGACCATGCTATTTTTCTTTTTTCCATTCCTCTCCCCAAGTGACCTTCTCTTTTTCTTTCAATGTGCAGGAAAAGCAAAACATTTTCGAGAGAGAATGCCAGCCTCTGGGCTGCACACTTTGCAATGCAATCCGATTTTGCACTTATACGGAGAGGCTTCTCTTAGTTGTATTCTCCACCTGCTGGAAGGTATTAGTTAAGCAACACATGCAAATGTTAGGCATTTCCTTCACAAATAACTTTAAAAGCTTATCAAAATGCAGAGGCTGAGTGAAACCTGAAAAAAATCATATACAAATTGTAATAGAGAATCAAGTCATACTAAATTATCATGAATAGACTAGTGTTAATAAACCAAATCAGACCAAATTAATGTTATTGATTTTACTACACATCCATTTTCCCCAATTTGAGAAACTAAATTAAAGCTGTACCAGAATGTGAACATTAATGTTTCATTCCTTTACAGTAATAGATCCAAAGATTTTTCTTGCCTTTGCAAAAGGCATTTTGTCATTCTAGGTGTTTCCTTCTGTGATTCTGATAATTGAATGAGTGATTGAATGAGTTTAATAAATGAACTGCTATGCCCTGAGCTGATGAACTGTCTGGCCACTGTGTTCCTGGCTGTGCCAATGCTTTTCTCCAGTGCACTTGCTGGACAAAAAGACGCGCCCCACCCCCACCCCCCTCAGAAATCTTCCAGAAGGCCTTCATGACACTCAGATTTTTCTACTGTTCCAAGATTCCTCTTGTGTGTTCTGCTTCCAAATTCACATTGCTCCCATGCTCTGTAACTGCTACCCTTGATGGGAGGGAAGTGGAGGGTTAGAGGCCAGAAGGAGATAGATACCTTTAATGTCCCTCTTTAAAGCAACAGGGGGGTCACCTTCCCCCTTTTTGTCTCTGGCTTCAGGTGTATGATTACTGTGACTTTTGCTTGCTATGGACTGAGTTCAGCCCAAGCAGACAGGCCTTGGCAGGAGGAGAAATCCTTGCTGCCCACAGGTTGATCATTTGGACAGAAGATGGGCGCGGCTACATCTATCAACTGGTGAACAGGTGAGACACACCAAGTGCAAGGGAGTTGGCACAAGCCCCACCTGGAGCCTGTGGAGCCTTTTGATGGCAAAACCCTCCACATTTCTAAGATCCTGACCGGGGGACCTTCCCTTTGGCCCATGGAGCTTTCGGTCAGGCAGCTGCTTACCCTTGTTGGGGCAATTCCCAGAAGGAAGCGTTTGCTAACGGAGGAGCTTCTGTTCCATGCATTGTCAGAGGACTGATCGTCCCTCTTCCCATGTCTTTAGTGGCCTTTCACGGAGCATCCAGCCATCCAAAGTCAGGGTGCTGAAAGAAACGGTTCGTCCTGTTTTACTCTCTTCTACTGAGGTGCAAGGCAACAAAGTAAGTTGGCTGGGTTTCTAGAGACTTCACTGGGTTTCCATAAATTACCAACCAAAACCCATAAAGCCAGGAACTGAGGGCATTTTCTCCAAGGATTTTCAGTTTGCCGTTGGAATCTCCATGGATTCCATTATAGGAAATTAAAGGATTTAAAAATGGCTCCTTGCTTTCTTTAATGCTTCTTGCATCTCTAAATTTGTGTGCTCTGAGCTGAAAATCAACTTATGAGTAACTGGAGGTCATTCAGCCTCAGGCTGTTCAAACTGCTAGAGGACCATAAGTGTGTAAGGGAAGGTGAAGCATCATTATCGTGAATGTGTGCATTTCTCAGGCCACTGTACTAATATGCAAGAAAACACACAGAAAACTGTGTGAACTTGGAACAAGCAGAAATAATCAGCAAACTCTGAATTGGGACTTGTGGGTGCCCCTCAAAAGTGCTGAAGAAGTTGGTTATTTGTCAGCTAACACAGCTCCTCTTCGGGAATTTTATTTTCAATAGAGTTTTTCTTACATCATGGGCTTCATGAATGAAAGGAAGGAACCCTTTTATAAGATTCTTTATTGTGGACAAGCTTCTGGGAGGATTACTTTATGGCATGTTCCTGATGTTCCTGTTTCAACTCTAGATGGCTCTCCAAAAAGTTAAGATATTTTTTTATTTTACAGCTTGTACTGCAAAGGGTGGAGATGAGACCTCCTGGCATAAACTCCGGGACTCACTACTTTTCTTATCTACTCTATTGTACTCAGAGGGCGATATGGGTTTGGAGATGCATCACTGCTAAGTAATATAGGCATTGGAAAGGGAGACGGTACCATTCACAGGGGTGTTTGCACTCAGGTTCTTATTGCTTATTCTCCACCCAAAGGCTTTTGCCGGGCCCAGAACACTAAACTAGAGGGACCCAACTCTCCTCAAGGATATGACTAGGAAAGTGCCATCACTCACACCTCCTTGTTTTTTTCTCTGCAGTGATCCCAGTCGCAGCATCCAGGACTCTGCAGGATAACTTTAACATTCACCGTCCGATAGCTGAAGGTATCCCTGATTACCCCTGGGGAGCTCCCATCACAGTTTCTACATACATTCCCAGCCTCCAGAAGTTGGTCTGTGGATGTATAGACGGCAGAATTATTATAGTGCCAGCTTTGCACGCTGCAAAGGCCAGACTGTTGGGAGAGGGTTCCGTGCAGAAAGGTGAGCAGCTTTGCAGCATCCTTCTTTACTTTACAACAAGTGGGGGGAGGCATTAGGGTTCCCCCTACACCTGAATAAAACCTTCCTCAACTCCTGGGTACTTCCGGTACTCCACTGACTTTTCTTGGCCAGGAGCTCTTTCTTCGGTGCATCCTCACTCTCTGCACCTGCAACCTTGAGTTCCCTGAGGGTCCAACTGAGCTTGATCTCTTGGCCCTCAAGCCCAGAACAAGTGGATTTCTGTAACCACAGGGCAGCCATTTTATGAATATGGCCTCCACCTCTACCTCCACCAGGGCCCTGAAAGGCCACCTCCTGTTCTGGCTGTCTGGAAGTTGATCTGGGAGACCGGCTGCTGGGTTCCCCTTCGGGGAGCATTCTGTGATGCCCGCTCCTCTCCCGCCTGATCCCAGGGACCATAGGGAGCCCCCGCCCAATGCTTACGTCAGTCAGGGCTCGTGGGCTGCAGAAAGTGGGGGGGCTCCTGGCGGTACTGGCTGCTGCCCGCCCGACTCTCTCGTGCAGATGCTGCTGCGCCCCATGTGCTGAGCGGTGCCGGCAGTGTAACAGCCCTGCTGGTGCTGCCCGGCCGGCCGACGCCCTGTTGGCTGCTCTCCGGAAGTCAGGACTCCTGCGTCATCTGGTGGGACCTCTCCACCGGGGAGGCACTGCACTGCTTCAAGCTGGATGCGGGGCCCATTTCCCGCCTGCTCCTCTCGCCGGATAGCTGCAGGGTGAGTTGCAGCACCCGAGGCGGCTCCCTGGGAACTCAACCAGGCAGGCCGGGTTTCTGCTCCGCTGCAGGAGTTTGGGGTCAGGCAAGAGGGTCTCCTGCCCTAAGCGCGAGCTCCCCAAGGCCGACCTCCCTCCTAGGCCTGACCGAGGAAGTCTTCCTTGCCTTGCCTTTGCAGCGGAAAGGTCACCACCTCGTATGCTGCGTGTGTAGCGACCACTCTGTCGTACTTTTGCACGTGCAAGAGCGTGCCTGCCTTATGCGTGCCAGGAAACACCTTTTTCCCGTGACGGCATTACGATGGCACCCCATGGAGAATCTGCTGGTCGTGGGGTGTGAAAATGATTCGGTCTACGTTTGGGACATTGAAACAGGTGATAGAAGTGAGGCTGCTCCGATTTGCCCCTTCTCTTCTTCTTGCAGCAGGCAGCCCCTGGACGTCCTTAGGAGCTCGTTGTAGTGATCAGCAGGAAAGGAACAGGTGGACTCTCATCTGCCCCTTATTTTTCCTCCTACAATTCCTACTTCTGATCATTAGAGGAAGCAAAATTGGCCCCAAATAGATCTGTTTTTTGTCTCTCACCCCAAAACCTAGACCTGTTATAAATAGACTGCAGAAATGTGGGTGACAATTAGATACAGGGAGCTATGCCATCATCAAGCGGCCATCTCGGTTATCAGCTCAGTTAATGATAAGTTTATGGACAAATAGCCATGGACCCTGAATCCTTATATCTCTGCTTGGCCCAACAGAACCCAGATTTCAGTTGCAATAATTGGGGCAGTCACTAGAGGGCAGCGTTTCTTAGTCTTAGAGCAGGGGTGTCACTCGATTTCACTGAGGGCGGCATCAGTCTTGTATTTGACCTGGGGGGAGGGGCAGGGGGGACATGGCCCACTGGATGTCATTTGTGTCGAGGACACTTGTGGCGGCACCATTTTCTCTGGCAAAGACACCACAGGCTAGTCCTTTGCTGTTTCCAGGCCGGATCTGGCCCAAGGGCCTTGAGTTTGACAGCCCGGCCTTAGAGGAACTCTACATGTCCTGGTTTGGCTCATCAGAGGATCACTGCCTATACTGGCTTCTTTTTAAAAACGTGCTTTATAAAATTGTGGCCTGATCCTGGAGAATCCAGGGAAGATAAAGTGGAGAGCTGCTGTTGTGAACACCCACCTTCCTTTCCCCCTTTGCCTAGGAAGTCTAGAGCGCCACGAAAGTGGGGAGACAGCCAAAGCGATCCTTGCTTCCTGTGAAGGTTCTGGTCTTATGGCTGACCCTCTTTATGCAGCCTGGGAAGAAGATGGCCAGCTAGAGAAAGGTCCATGTGGCCCCTTGTCCAGCTCCTCTGACTTTGGCAGTTTTTCCTGCAACAGGCTCGCTCATCAAAGAAGGTCTTTTTGTCATCAGGTGAATACTCAGAAGGAAACAGTTGCTGGCTGGGTGAATAAAAGCCTGGTTCTTTTGTGTTCCCTTTAGAAGCCCGCCCCGATTTCTTCCCCATCCCCTCTGATGATTCCTCCTGCCCCCCAAAAAAAATCTTTGGAATGCCCATTGATAGGTTTTAGCCACGTGTGGTATTTGTTCTATATCATCATAGTTGGTGGCTTCATCCATTCAACCTTGAAAAAAAGGCATCCTTTTAATTGCCCAAGTGTTAAAAAATGACATTCTGCATTACAGTATACTTATTAGCCCCCACATCTATACAAACTTTTACAGCCTCTCTACTTACCTGTGCAAGGTCTGGGCATTGTTAGATGCCCACTGTGCATTTTGCAATTAGTCATACCTTTCCATTAGCCATCCATATATTTAGAGGGATGTTTTTAAATGAAAATGAAGTACTCACCAAGAAAAATCAATAGGAGCTCTCGGTAAGAAAAATCTGTTTAGCAAACAAGAAGGTGCCCTTGAAAAGGCTCCCTGGCTATTGCTGCTGCCAACCTGCGAGTGGTTCACCTCTGTGTTATGATTCAAAGGGCCTCACCTCTTCTCCTCCCCTTTGGGGTACAGGGAGGAATGTGGGAGGAGAGGGCTTCTTCGGGAAAACATGCAAGTCAGCAGCATCGTCAGACTGAAGGAAAAAAGCACCGGAAGAGACCTTCAGGTTTTCCAGTTCTTTGTTCTGGTGCCTGCCTACCTGCTCTTAGAATGGCTGGGAGTCTGCATGTCTCAGAGCTAAGATTAAAATTTGCCTTGGAAACAAGCTTCTCCTTTTGTCTCTTTGCTTGTTTGATCTGTTTATAGGTTAGGGGTGGCCAGATTTGGCATCACACTTTGCAGAATTGCTGGAGTCCAAAGGGGAAAGTGGGGCTCTTATTAGAGGAGGTTGCTAGGGAAGAAAAGGGATCGAGGGAGGGCTCTTCATTTCAGAAGAGGAAGCATCAGCATAGCTGCTGCCAAGCGGGATGGACCTGCTCGGGAGGGAGAGACCTGTCCCCTGGGAGAGTGAGGGGAGATCCCTGGACAGGCCGCATTTGGGGCTGATGACCCACAGATGAACCAAGCCTAGAAACCCCTCTGAGCAGTTAAAACGCCTCAGGGTTTCCCTTTATGGATGTTTCATTACACATTGGAAATACGTTTGTGTCATTTGGTGTTGCTTTTCAACATTTCTTTACCATATGGATACCTCATTCATTCCTCATGCCTTTCTGTTTGGTGTTTTGCTATTTTTAATAGTGGCTTGTTTTATACTTCTTTTCAAAAGTGAAATATTTGCATATTTATTGATTACATTCATTGTTACGTGACATCCACCTGAATTGAATATAAACGATATAAATATTTTGTTATACTATTTAATTATAATTGTTGCACTGACTACGGTAACGTCAACTAAATGATGAAAACATTTATCTTTCAGTTAACTACTCTCTGCTGGGCTCAGGGGCCTTTTGCCATTTGGCCATTGAGGGCAACGTGGGAGAGCCTCAGTGTCAACGTGCTCCTTTTTGATTTGGAAAAGCTGGTGGAATTGCTCTGCTCCTCTCAGGCCAAGGGACTGAAGTCCTCCAATTCCTTCAGCACCATCGACACTTTAAAGAGAGCCAGAAGCGCAACAGAGAAAAGGACATTAATGTTAAAGAGAAACAGAACTTCCGGATCCTTCTATCCGGTGGATGGGCAGGACAGAGTGGCCACCGAAGAACAAGACTCTGGGGAGGTGCATACAGGTGGAACCCTGGAACACAGCGATGGCATCAAAAGGCACAAAAAAGCGAAGAGTTCCAAGAAGATGAAAAGGCAGTCCTCTAGAAGAACCAGCCCAACTGTCGCCACAGAGGCAGCCAAACTCCTTTTGTCCTGTTTTTTCCCCTGGGGTATGAACAGAGAGTTGGACGGCCTTTGTGTTCAGTATTTAGGTATCTTGAGACTTTTCTCTCCTGTCTCCTTTGGACTGCTTTCAAAAAACAATTATCTTACTCTGATGTTACCAGGATGGAACATTGCTAATCCTGAGAGGATGGAAAAGCAGCAGGAGGTAGTCAATCTATTTTCTAGCAAAGTGCTGCATTTACACAGCAAATACTATAGTGTAACCCAAGAGCAAGCAGGCAAGAAGAATGGATGGAGAAATATGGTTACTTCTACAGAGCAAAGGCTAGTTTTGGCTTATTTGTTAAGCAGGATGTCTTTAGTTCAAAGGATAATTAACAGGCCTTCTGAAAAGACCAGGTAAGACTGAGTCTAGCTTTTTCTGAAATGAAAATTGATTGCTCTACAGTAGTTGGAAGAAATGGATGGACGAGCAGTTCTTGCCTATCATATGTCATTCACATATAATATAAGATGATGTCTTTGGGGTGGTTCCCTTCTCCCCAGTCAGCTTCTGGTCACCAGGTCTATTCCTCTGAAAGGCCTGAGCTCACCTGGTTCCTGGGAGAAGGCGGCCTCCGAGGCTTCCTTGCATTGTGTGCCCACTGTTCCCTTTCACAAAGGAAGATCTTGCCTAAAACATGGTGCTTCCTCCAAATGCCCCCCCACCTTCAAGAACACAGCCAACTCCTGGTTTTCGCTTCACTTGACTTGTCTTCTTCATCATCACTATCATTGTAGCCTTTAGCTCACCAGCTTGTTCAACCATGGTTCAACCATATATGATAGATACAGAGAAAGGGGCGGTGGGGGGGAGAGACTTTTGGTCCTTGGCTGTCTGTGTCAGGGTCCCTGACAGACAGATGATCTCTTTGCTTTCAGCCTCATGAAGCGCAACAAATGGAGACCTGCAGCATCTCTGGTCTTGGATGACCTTAACCTAGAGTTTTCTCCACGTAAGTCCTGGTGACACAATCCACACTGTTTCCTAGGTGTTTGTTGTGATGAGAGGAAACCTTCCTTCCCAAAGGAAGACTCATAGGTTGTCTCAACCCTTCCAAGCCCTAAAATGTTCAGAGGCACCAGATAGCCCTGAGGAGGACCAAGATTTGTCAGTCTGTCTTTAACTTAATAATTTCAGCACGTGGTACAATAGAACTGAACATTATTAAATAAAATATGTTTCCAATATCGTTCACAAAAAAGAAATGAGGACAAATATAGGCAGGTTAAAAAAATAGTCCCAAGGCAAATAGAAGTGCTTGGTGCTGAAAAAAATGGTAAAAGAACACTTAAAAATCATTTGGTGAGATTAATGAGATGTTTAATTTTAACAGACTTTTGCCTCAGAGCAAAATTAAACTTCTTGTAATGCAATTGTTTACAAAATGTTGTTTTTAAATTTTACCAAGGTTTCAGGAACAATAGCAAATATAATTTATTTATTTGCTCATAGGCCAAACGTAGTCAAAGTAACACCTAGCGTAGATGACCCTAAACCAAGTGAAAGGAGCTATAAGAGAAAGGGGAAGGGGGAAGGCACAGGCTCTCTAGTTCTGCTTTGGAGTGACTTTGAGCCAGTCCCCAATCCTCAACCCTCAGCTGGGAAATCTGCAAGCAGCTACCTGCCACCCCCCACTGGACCAATCTGGCAGCTCACGGTCAGCTTTCTTGCGGAAGGCCCTCCTGCTCTCATGTCACATGTCACTCTTGAGCAACCATCAAGGGAAGGGATCCTTTCTAGAGAACATTATATTCTGTAGGAACAAAATGCCAGCTGATAATGTGTCTTCCGCTTCAGACATGCTGAGGTTCCCTGTTTGTGAGGCAGATAATCGTTTATTTGTCAAGCTAATTTCTTGCTGGAGAGACCAATCCGTAGAGGTAAGAAATGAACACCATTCCAAGGTCTTAAAATCCCCCAGGTTTCATCTGGGGTACAGTTTTGCAGACACTGGGTCAACAAAGTGGAAGTTAATTCTGAGTGGGGAGCATTTCTTCTTTCCCATGCTGTGGGACAGAATTTTGTATGAAAGTGGCAACTTGGCATACAGCTAAATTGCTTGATGCTCAATATAGGAGTCCCTGGCCATACCTCAGTGTTTATCAGGGTGCCCAGGGGACTGCTCTGGCTCTCCTCTTCCAAACCGAGGGCAGCAGCTAGAAGGGGAGCTGAACAGAAGAAACCACAGCCTGCTGGTCTCTTCCTCAAGACCCCCTCATCTGCAGAAGTACCATGTGGCTGACTCCTATCTCAGAGCAGGTTGCATGTCAGGCCTTGCTGGCTGGCATAGGTATCAAGACTGTTTAATTGTACATGTAAAGGCTATTTGTTGTAGGACAAACTTTTGAACAATTCAGGATAAACATTCCCTGCACATAGAAGAAAACATGCGCCCAGCCCTTTCCCTGAAATGCTAACTTGATAAGTGAATGGGATATCTTGGAATATTTTTCCTCCAGCACTTTCCTTTCACCTAGCCTGCAACTGGGCTGTTGCTGCTAGGAGACCCCAATTTGGCTCTTTTTGCTCCTTCCCTGAACCGCTCAAGAATACTCATCCCTTCTGGGGAAGGAGTGGGGCAAAGAGGCCTGCAGAATCAAATCTGTCTCCACAGAAATTTAATTCGCCCTCTCTGTCTGTGGCAGGTGATGGAGGCCATTCAGGCAACTTTGCTGGCTGAAGTGGAACAGAGCATGGAGCAGAAGATGATGGCTGGAGGCTGTGGGCAAACAAATTCTACCAGGTGGGGGTCAGCGGGGGCCAAGAACTCCCCTTCGCTGGGTACAGCTTTTGGTAAGTTCACAACAGTGATTTCAGGAGGAAGTGCAGAGCAATATGAGGTCTGTCAGTAGGCCTATCCCTATTAAGTTATGGAGGCAGAAGAGTGGTGAAATCCACATTTACGACCCTTGTGTTTACTTGCCTCCTTAAGTGAACAGTGCCACCCATCCCCCACCAAATTATACCAAGAACTGCTGCCAGTTGCTCTCAGCCATGGCCCTAGAAGGATGCTCAGCCCTTTGTAGGTTTGGGCCTCATCTTCCAGCAGTGGTGCTTAAAAAAAAGAGACCTGGTGATAGCACCGCCTTGTGTCCTTGTAGAGTCCTTGTAGAATCCCCCTCCCTCATACAAGGGCATGAAAGGACCGACTCGAGTGACTAGAGCAGAGTTGTCCTTGGTTCTTCTTAGACAGCTGCGTTTAAGATCTTGGCCAGAGGCTGTTCCATGGCTGCGTTTCAGCTGGTGTCCATTAGAGCAATGCGTCAGGTTACAGCTCTTTCCTGTAAAGATACACAACTCAATTTAATGCTCTCTCATCCAACACTCGCCCGCGATTGCAGTTGATTCCTCTCACTTTGTCAACACTCATTTACAAGTGTAGCTCTAACATTAGTGGTCAAGTATTGAAGGAAACGTATTGGAAGAGCCTGTAGAATTGCAGCTGATTTTGCTCCTTGCTTCATGCTGTTTAGCAGAGAACTCCTTAATGCAACAGAAATCAGATTTGCCGAGCATTTTATACAAAATCTAATTGTCCAGGCGCCATGCCAGGCTTGTCCCAAACCTTCGGAGGATAGATTCCAATAGGCCATTGGTCAAGCTTCATATGGAAGCATATATTTGGGGTACCCATGCATGGAACCTGATCCTTTAAAAATGTTCTCTTATTCCATGTACAATGTGTGCTGTGTGGGAGAGACAGTTAAGCATCCACATAAGCGCAGGAGCGGTGCTGGCAAGTTAGTAATATAACAGGCAATTCCTGCCGATATTTGTGTGAACATCCCTCCTAAAAAACCCCAAAATCTCTGTAATGGATTACTGTACAGTATGTGCATATTCAGGGGAGTGATCTCTGCGGGCCTCCCTGTTTCCCTGGCATGGGGAGTCCAAGAATTGGGGGCTGGAAGGGACCACCGGGATCATCTAGTCCAGCTGTAACCTTATAGGACCCAGACATGTGCTCACTCTAATGTGAGCTGCTTTCATAGCTACTCTTCCAAATCCTGCTAGAAAACACCAATTTGATGGCAGTAGGAAAGACGACTTCCATTCGCCATTTGCTGCTCTCTTATAGGCAAAAAAGTGGGAAACTAAACTCCACGGAGTGGAAACAATATGTGGAAGGGCATTTCTATTTTAATGTTGGCTTTTGTTTGAATTCATTTTAATCTTCTCAAGATTTGGAAGGGTGGCCTTGCTATTGAAAGAATAAAATGCCTTGTGATTCATCCCAGGTACCATGGGCATGATCAAGTATGAGAGCTGCATAACCACAGCAAACGTTGAAGATGGGGAAGCTCCTGCAGAGGAACTGGGGAGTCCAGGTGAGATTCTTCTGATCACTGGAGCCATCATGCTAGCAGGTACCTACAACTGTTTTCAGCAGCCTTTGTGTCAGATTTTGGTTGGACATGGGGAAGAAATTATATGATTATAAGAATGACTCAAACATGCTGATTTCCGTAGAAAATAGTGAACACTCATGGCTGGAAGTATCTAAAGAGAGGCTGGGTGGCCATGGGTCAGAAAATTATCAGAGAGCAGGCTTGTATCTTTCAAATTAGAATATCAAAAACACAATTCATATTATTATTCAACAGGTATAAACAAGCCACTTCCTTGGGTATCCAAACTGTGTTCCTGCAAGATGTGTTAGAAGAGTGGTTGAATTTCTCCATGAGAACAAGGAATTGTTGCAGACATAAAAGTGTGTCCACCATTCTTGGCTGATGCTGCTTGAGAAGCCCTCCTGTTTTCTTCTCAGCTTACTCCTACATCTCTTCCTTCAAATATACTCTGACTGACTTTGGAAGAACTCTGGAACATCAAGATTAGATTGACACCCCCACACACACTCAACCCTGCTGACCTATTGCAGATTAGTGAAGACCTGGGCATGCTTCAGGCCTTAAGGCAGGAGGTTTTTGTCAATTGTCAGGTTTATCCTCATCATTCACTTTAGGTTTTTATCTTTTGATGTTGTTTTTTTTAAGAGTTAAGATAACTTACAGAACAAAGATGCCAAAATCCCATTTAAGAATGAGACTGCAAGCCCTGGAATGTAAGAAGTCACAGTAGGCCTTGCACTCCTTGGGATGCTTCATTCTCAGTTGTCTATTTTCATTGCTGGATCCCATCCTGAGCCCGTTTCAAAGGCTCCTACCTAACTTCTCAAGTACTTGGATTTTGCTTCCATGCTACACAAATTCTGTAGTTTTGAGATGGGGAAAATATCTTACTAACAACCACATAAGCTTAAAATTTTAATTTGTAATAGTTTACCATGCGATGGTCTTTAAAACATTGCAAGTGATTAAAAGCAGCATAAAAATATAGTCAACAAAAGGCCCCATGCATTCTTAATGGCCACTGGTTAATCCAAGGTCTAGGTAGTGGACATGCATGCTCGGGCACTAAACACCTCCTTGGCAAGGAAAGTCAACTTCCCCTTAGGAAAATTGTAATTCATTATTCTGTAATTAAATTAAACATCTGTGACTAACAGTATCCCAAATTGTCTGCAGGGCATTAGAGCTCCATGGCCCTTTTTGTCTTCTGTAAGATAGGCATTAGTGGTAAAACTGGCCAGATGTACAGCAAGATATTCCCTTTTTCTACTTCTGGCCTGTCACCAAGAGGAGAAAATAAAGAAATAATAGATTCGTGGAGGTTTAACATATTTTATCTTGTTCTGATTGCATGTCTGTTCATTTATACAATGTATAGGCTCCCCCATCTTACCTCAAGGTAACCTTACTTACAATCATAAATCATGTTCCCAAAGGATATGAGAGAAAGACCCGGAGACAGGAGCCTGCTTGTTAACAGAAGCACGAGTGCTGATCTATTGCAAGAGAGATTTGGTGACATCCCTCTAGTCTAGAACTCTGCTCGGAGGCTTTCATCATCATTGCTACTGAAGGGAGTGGTGGGAACCAAGGTCCATTTATCCTTTCTGGAGAGCCAAATGGCTTCATTGCCATGCATGCTTGTTTGGCAGCCTCAGGGAGGAATATTTTTTTTTTTTTTGCAAAGCAACTTCCTCCATGGGGCAACTAGCTTAGCTGCCTCTTAGTTCAGACTGTGGATGTTTCCAAAGGTGTATCCATTTGGCTTCCTGTATTTTTTATTTCATTTTCAGTTGTCACTCTGTTTCTGGTAGCTTTGCAGCACTCGGGAAGGATATGACCGTACTTAGCACACTGATGCAAACAAGAATCCCACCTGCTCCAGTCAGAGAGAAGCTCCCAACTGCAAATGTTTTTATCTCCGAAGTTCCTGTGGAAGCCAACCTGTCTGTCCTAGAAGGAAGGCTGTGTTGCCTGGCTAGAGGAGCCCCCCCTCCCCTCCTGGCAGCAGGCAGGCAGAAAGAAGAGGAGGTAGGCAGACAAGGGGCCTTTCTCATGGGGGCATGTTTAGATGAAATGGATCACAGCTCTGTCCTATGATGGGGCTTTCTCTAGCATTTGAGGTTGTTCAGAGCTGGCAGTGAGTTGATAGGATTACTGTCACAACAAACCATTATTGACATGTGTTCAGGTAAATATAGAAGGTCACCTATAAAAGAAAAATGACTTTTGGGATGAAAGAAAATATCAGGAAAGATTATATGGATCCACAATCCCTTTGACAATTTTTGAAACTGACTAGTGTCCATCTTGGTGACCGAATCCCTACATGGGTAGAAAATGATATGAAAAGTGAGAGCAGGCAAGTAGGAACCAGAGGTGATAGGAATTATGGCCAGTTGCTTTCTGGGATTGAATCCATCAGAGGATAATTTTTTGATTATAACTGAACACTTGTATTGCCAAGCTAGCCCTTCAGGCCTGTATACCTCTCAAATGTCGATGGTTTGAATGTAGTACTCCTGATGGTTTCCACACAACAGTTTTCCTGTATATTCACTCTTAAAAAGAGATTCATATTTCTAAAGAGTCCCCGTGGAAATGGTTTCAGATGGGCCATTATCTTGATAGTTTGTAATTGGCCTCAATAAGCTGCTAGTTTGGCTGATTCAGGTCAGGCCTCTATGTTGGCTGGGTTGTATTCAGTGACCCTGTTCCAAAAGTACATTGTTAGGAAACCCATTATGAACACTGCACACACTCAGGAGAAGTGGCAGTTTTGCAGATTGATGGTGCGATGTTGCCACTTTAGAAAAAAGGATCCATGAATTATTGACATAATGAGTTAATGTTGCTTGATTTTCCAATGAGGCTGGTGCTATTTAATGGCATTTTTAAGGTCCTCTGAGGGAAAGAGAAAACAGTAAGGGTCTTACTTCACCTTGGGCAGATGCAAGTTTTCAATCAAATCTATATATATATAAAAGCGAAATACCACTCACGCATCATCACAAAATCTCCAGAACTTTAAAGCCTACAAACTTGAAATTTGGCATGTATGTTCCTCTTGGCTTCTAGGGGCTCACTAAGAAAGGGTTTTTCGAAATGGCCACCAGAGCATTGGTTTTTGTATATTATTAACACACTCTGATGCTAAGGAGTTCTATTCCCCCTCCCCACCTGAAAAGAAGTCTGTTCCAAATGCAAAACAAGCAGAGGAGAGGAGTTTCAGTTTCACAGCATCAAGCAGCTTTAGTACAGAACAGTTGAGCTAAGTCATGCCCAGGCTCCCTGCTGTGTGTCCTTGCTCACACAGGAAATACTGTTTCAGTTTCCAAACAGCCCTCAACTCTCACACTGACAGGATGCTACCCAGATGAATACCGATGGATGCTGGTAGGCAGAGGCAGAATTTTTTCTCCCTTATTGTCTTCCCCCCAAACTCACCCGGAGCACATGGTTTCGTAGCGAAGCATGGGTTTGATTAGCAAAAACTGTATTTGTTTTTACTGAATGTATTTGTAATGGAATGTAGCAGGGGAAGAGCTTGTAAAACATAGCATAAACACAAAAGTTGTTTAATTTTTTTCAGAAAGTCTAACTACTAACTCCTGCAATAGGCAAAGCCCTTGGCAGGTTTAAATCTACTCTGTGGAATGAGCCTAAGGAGGATACTTCATCTCCACTGAGTAAAGTTTGCACCCGATCATCTTCAGGGCACCTGCAGGGGATGGGAGATGGTGGCCATTCATGGCCCTGTAATCTCCTGATTACTGAAATTCACTTTACACAGGGGTGAAAGGGGACCCTTGAAGACAATGCAACCGAAGACTAAGCTTGAACACTTGCAAAATATAGTAACACTTGTGTTTGCAGTACACTTTCAATACTATAACATGTTTATTTTAAGAGCTATACTGGTGACCAGTTTGTCTCTGAATACATTTCAAGGTACTTATCAAGTCCTATACAGCTTAGGGCCTGAGGATGGTGTTTCTGCCCACATCTCTGAAGTTCCCCATCTGCCCAGCAGCCCTGTGGGAAGGGGCATTTTTTTAGAAAGATGGGCAATTTAGAAATGTTAGAATACTCAATGCTTGAATCAGTGCTAAATGTTAAAGAAATATTAAGCAACTTTGCCTGCATTTGACTTACTGATAACTAAATACAAACAAGAAACTTTAAGGCAGTGATTGACTGGGTCCCATCTTTATAGCCAAGTACGACTAGCTGTAGACTTTGCAGTTTGACTGCTGAGTGGTCTTTAAAGATTAAATGCCAATTAGCAGTCACCAATTTCTAAAGATCAATCAGCAGTCAGGACACCAGGTATACAGAGGAACCCAGGCAGTTCCATGTTCAGTTGTCTGTGAAAGATGCCAGCCTCATCTGCCAGTGAAATATCAGGAAACCAGTAGCATAGACTACGGTTACTAAATTCCAAACCCCATCAAATACCGGCTGTGAAAACTTGCATCAAAAATCCTATGTTTCAAAAAGGCAGGCAGCTCCTTCAGGTACTATGCAAAGAGAAAGCTGGGCAGCTTCTTGGAGATTTCTGAGTCCTTGGTTAACCTAAGTGTCTGAGCTGAGCTTTTCAGGCAGCTATTTTTCTTTTTGAGAATTGTCTCGAGGGGGAACCCCTCATTGCTGCTTTAGTTTTCTCCCCTTTCATGGGGGGCCCCCACAATATTATTCTGGGTGTCTGGGGAATGGCCTCCCCTGAGATCTCAGCCTTCCAGGGCTGAATTCCTATAGACCTGTCTTTTGCCTCATGCTAGTGCCACTTAGCAGATTTGCAATGACAGTTGTTAAAATGAATTCAAATGAATTAATAATGATTACCTAATTATTCACGAGTTTCATCGCACTTTAGAAGCCATTTCACAGTGATGCTGCGGGCTAATGACCTCACTTATTTCCTATGGTAAATCAGTTGAGGGGGAGAGGGAAAGAAAAACCCAGCCTGAAAGTGGGCACTGGGCCTTATACCCTAATTAGCAAATAACACCAAATGGTGATTATAATAGATCTTCAGTTCTGAACTTCTTGCGGGGTTGACCAAAAATAAGGATGCTGTGGAGAAGAGCATCCGCAGCATCCTTATTTTGTGTCAACCAAGCTGAGATGATCTCTTCATTGAGAAGACAGTTCCTCGGTTTCCATATATCACCCTAAATATTAGCAGAATTAGCAGAAATGACATAAACTTAGACCGCAAGCAGGGCAAATAAAGAACACTTGAGCAATAATTCATCAGCAAGTGTCTTTTGAGCAGGTTGACAACATGACGCTTTGACACCTCCAAGGAGGGCAGGAGGGATACCTGTAGCATCTCTGAACCCTGAGGAGTACCGAGAGACAGGAGTCCTCCAGGTAGCAGTGCCTGTGCTGGGTAACTGTTTTCCCAATAGAAGCCAGAGAGTCAGCTGCCAGCTCATGCTTGCTTGTGCTTGGTGATAGTCTGCCATGGACTTTGGGGAGGGTGGATGGGAGGGGGAAATGCATGATGGAATTCTGCTTGAGTCTGATTGATAGGGAGGGGTCAGCAATGGAAAGCAGTTGAGGGAGGGACAAGTTGAACTTAAAGATTTTGGCATGCAATTCTCAGTTCTGGCTCTGCAGTACTTCTAAAACTATACCTTTCTCAACAAATGGAGTTAAGGATCCTTTCTACTTAGAAGTTTAAGTTTGTGGCAGGTCTGACACGGATTGCTACCACTGGTAAAATTATTCCAATCCCTGAAGGACCCTACTTATCCCAGATTGAAACATTTTTTACAGTGGGAAAATGGGAAAAAGGCGTTCTTTTACATAGAAAAGCAGAGGCCAATAAATCTCAAGATTAAAAGCAATTAAAACCTCTTTAAATATTTTTTTTTCCATTTTCAGGCATCAGCAGTTTCTGGTGTGCACACCAAACAAACCTCTTCCCCCATAAGTGATATTATTTGGTTCAAGGAAACCACCCAATGAAAGTGGCCTTTGACTTGACAAGAAATTTCTTCCTTCCATCGACCTGCCATCAAATCTTGGGGCCGTCTGCCCTAAAGAGCTTGCTGCCCATCTTGGTGCCAAAGGTTATCGGGTTGATGCATGTCTGCTCCACAGGGATGTGGCTATAGTGACCTTTGGTTTGGAGAGAGCCACTCAGGGTGATAACATGAAAGCATGAGGGTTAAGCAGTTCCCATCCAACTGAGGCAAGGGAAGGTTGTGATGATGTTCTTCTTCTGAGTTTTACCAAGGGCAGTTTGACCTTATAGGAAACACCATCTGACCTTATCAGTAAGATATTGAAGAGAATATCTTATTTC